CTAAACTTGAAGGATTGAGTCTCACACAAGAATCAGAAACTACAAAATAAATTCACATGTCAAAATTACAGAGAAAAAATAATAACACGAAAAACCAAAATAATATATCCCCACATTGTCCTCTAGAAGAGTACAGTGAGAACCCCTAGAGATAATGCAGGACGTGGAACTCAAAAGAACAATTATAAACATGATAAAAGGATTCAGTGAAATTAAAGAACACACAAACAAAGAAATCAAAGAACTGAAAGAGGATAGGGACAAACATCTGATGCTGAAATGAAGAAGGAAGTGAAACACTCAGTAAGCCAAATAGAAATGACAGGAGAAAGCCTCAACAACAGGATGGATGAAATGGAAAATATAATATCAAGACTGGAAGATAAAGTGGACAAACTAGATTATGAAAAATGTAAGAAAGCACAAGAATGGAATATGCAGGAATTGTTTGATACCATAAAAAGATCAAACTTACTAATCATAGGCATACAGGAAGGAGAAGAATCTCAAGATAATGGCATGGACCACTTCCTCAACAGAATCGTGGAAGAAAATTTCCCAAAATTAAAGAAAGACATACCCATACAAATACAAGAAGTATATACAATACCAAACAGACCGGACCAGAAAAGAAACTCTCCACGGCACATCATAGTAAAAATAAAGGTATAGAACAAAGAGAAAATACTGAAAGCTACAAAAAGAAACAAGTCACATATAAAAGAAACCCATTAGAATTACAGCTGACATTTCATTGCAAACTATGAAAGCCAGAAGAACCTGGACCAAAGTATTCCCAGTTTTAAATGACCACAGATGCCAAACCAGATTACTATACCCAGATAAAATGTCTATTATGGTTGAAGGGGAAATAAAAACCTTCCATGACATAAATAGGCTGAAGGAATTCATGTCTACAAAATCAGCCCTTCAGAGAGTTCTGGAAACAATACAAAGAGCTGAAGAAAGGAATGCCTATACCCAAGGGCTTGTGGAAATTCAATGAAGGTATAACTATGGAAAACTACAGCTATATAAAGAATGTAAACAGAAATAAAAATGACAGGTTTCAAGACATATCTTTCATTAATAACTTTAAATATTAATGGACTGAACTCCTCAGTCAAAGGACACAGACTAGGTGAATGGATTAAGAAACAAAACCCATCTTTTGGTTCTCTGTAAGAAACTCATCTCACTTTCAAGGACAGGCACTATCTTAAGGTGAAACCCATCTTTTTGCTGTCTGCAAAAAATTCATCTCACTTTCAAAGACAGACACTTAAAGTGAAAGGATGGAAAAAATATATCAAGCAAATGGTACTAAGAAAAACAAATGGTATTAAGAAAAAAGAAGGTGTTGCAATTCTAATCTCTGACAAAGTAGACTTTAAACTAAAACTAATCAGAAGAGAAAGAGGGACACTTCATTCTGATCAAAGGAACAATAAATCAAGAAGATACTACAATCATGAGCATACATATTCACCAAACTCTGGTACACCCAACTTCATAAAAACAATACTACAGGACTTTAAGACCCAGATTAATACCAACTCATTAATAGTAGGAGACTTCAGTATCCCACTGTCTCCATTAGATAGGTCAATGTGGCAGAGAGTTAACAGAGAGACATCTGAATTAAACAATACCATGTATCAAATGGACCTAACAGACATCTACCGAGTATTCTACCTAAGCAACAAAGGACATACTTTTTACTAAGCACTCCATGGAACCTTCTCCAAAATTGATGATATACTGGGGCACAAAACAAACCTCAACAAATACAAAAAGATTGAAATAATTCCATGCATTCTATCAGACCACAATGTAATAACTCTCACAATCAACACTGAAAGAAGCCCTAGTCACCACATGAACACATGGAGATTAAACAACACACCCCTGAATGATGAATGGGTCAAAAGAGAAATTAAGAAAGAAATAAAAGTATTCCTGGAATTAAATGAAAAGGACAAGGAGCTCAGAAAGTAACTGAATGTGACTAGTAATAATCTGATATATAGAGATTGGAAACGCATGTGCAAACATCTTAATGTCAATTGCATTAAAATGAAATTTTATGTATGAAATTCTGTATTTTAATAATGAAATGTAGATCCTTTTTAAAGGTTAAAAACCTCATTTAATTTTATGTGTTATAGGGTTTATACTGAGTACAATATTGTATAACTGTATTAATTCAACTGTAAACCTAAAACTTCACAGCCAATTTTGAAAGAGATGCATCTTACCTCTGGAAATTGTTATTGAATATGTCAATACTGTTGTAGTGAAATGCTTCTTCTAATTATGTGGTAATTAAATAAATAACTAAAAAATACAATAACATTAAAAAGATAAATAAAAATAATAATCAAGTCAAATTAGTGTTGCCCATAGATACATGGGTGTGGCACCATCCACTGGAGCATGAACAAACTACCAGTAGCCAGACCCCCAAAGAAGAATGACTCTCCCTCCTCCAGCAGTTATCAACTGCAATAGTCCTCAGTAAGTGGTGGGACTTCAAACGCTCCTCCCCATCCATGCTGAAATTCTGGTTGGCTTGAGTTTGTTCAGGTCTTGTGAAGGTAACCACAGCTGCTATGAGTTTGTGAATAGAATATCCATTTCATGTCCAGAAGACAGCATCTCATGTATTTTTGAAATAGCATGGGATTGTGAAGGAAGTGGGTCTACTACATTCAATCATCAGCTTGGTTCATTGTGAGTGCTCAATCAAATTTTCTCCATTACAAATTATGAAACTGAAAAACTTTGTATTCACTTATTAGTGAATTATCATAATTCCTCCAAGAGTGAACTCTCTTAGGCCTTTTCAACAAACATTTTTATCTCTTGGGAAGGCCAAGATAATGATGCAACTGTAGACAGTTTGTCTCTAATTAAGAGCTGGCCATAGAGGTTTATGCCCAGGCTCTTTCCATGGTTTGTGAAATTAAAATTCACCCTGGTTTTTCAGGGATATGAAATAAAACACATCCATATATGTATCATATCAGGCTCCAAGTTGAAAACTCTTGTTTCTCCCAGTGGATCTTTCAGCCCCTCAGAGAGTCCACCTGTTTCACTGTATTTTCTGCATTCCAGAGAGAGAGGGAAGGGCATTTTAATGGCTTGTTCTTGAAGACATTTGTGCTTGTCATCTAAGGGCCCATTGTAGAGCAGAAATAGAACTTAAAATAAGTAAGATGATGGCATGCCTTTGGGTGGGCTTTGTACATGTGTGGGTCTTGTGTGTACTACTTATCTCTACACTCTACCCTTCTTCACGCTATGGTATAACAGACAGATCCACATAGAATACTTTGTCTTAAATAGATATTCAAATTTTGATAGGGTAGGGTGGCAGCAAATTCATATGTCGAATATTTTTATGTCTGACTGACTTTACATCTAATTTGAGAAGCTATAAAGTAGAGGCATGTCTATTTTTTGCTTTCTTTAACCCTGTCTCCTTGAGTATTTTTTCCAAATTATATACCAAATTTCTTTAATTTGATTTATTGTTGCTATAACAATTCAGGTAGAAATCATGGTTATTTTATACCTAAATTACTGTAATGACTTTCATGTAGACTCCCACTGATTTTATTTCAATGATGTATTGTCATCGCAACCAGCAGAAGGCAAGATCTTTAAAACTTTCAGTCAATTCTATTTTAATTTAATTTTTACTTTGGGGGGACGTTTGTATGTAATGTATTTGCATCATTTCTATCCTCCCTCCCCCACCCCAACTCTTCTTGTGTTTCAGTCGGTTCTTTATTTCAATCTTTTCTTGGCTGTTCTGCTGTTGAGTATTAATGAATCTTTATTATAGCAGGAAAAACTTAGATGTAGTAAGATGAATAACACATGAATTTAAAACCATATTCAATCCAGGTGAAAGAACTTGTACATTTAATATAATCTTTAGTTAACTATTCAGATACATAGTGGCTATGATGATTTTTAATTGTCAAAAAGCAGCACATTCAGACTGAGAAAGTCTTTTAATAAAACATGGATTCCATGTTTTAGTAGATGCTTCATTGTAGTCTGTTGCCTTACTACATAATGATTGTGAATGTGCCTGAGTCCAACTAATTTGAAGTAGAGAGAGGAACAAAGAGCATATACAAATTATTAAAAAATGCAACAAAAATAATTTAAGAATCATTGGTATAAAACCAAGCTTGGACACCACTAAAAGGATAACTCACTATTCGCCTGTGCTAGACAGATATTTATAAAGAACCTCTTCTTTGACAGGTTCTGAATGTGATTGGAAAAGTCAAGAATTTCTGGGTAGTCTACTGACTTGAATAGGAATGTTCTAGCTTGAGCCAAGAGACTATATAAGGGAGGACTGACCTTCCTTACAGTCCATGAATGTCCCTTTAGGAAAGGTGATGGAAGACTAAAATTACGAGCAGAAAAGTATTTCTTAAAAGGAGGAATTGATGAAAAATCACAAGGTAAGTCATTAGATACTCTATGATCATTTCCTTACCTTGATCTGCTACATATGCTATTTCTATCTAATCTCCAGATCCTAATATTTTGGAACTTCAAACACCTACTTGTTACTCTCATGTTAAGTGTACAGAAATAACGCATAAGTAAAAATTATTCTGGTGAGCCAGCTCAAAAAGCCATTGGAAGTCATCTACTGACTCTAATTAATTCATGACTGACTCAGCCTTGCACCCTTATTTGCTAATCTCGGATTTTTGTCATGGATTTGTGTTTCTTCTGGGTGGAGCCTGATGTGATCTAATACTCATTCTGGTATTTCCCATTTACTCCAAAATAGGCTTAGCTGGTTCCTAAGCAAGTAAAAAAACATTCACCCACTTAATCACTAGTCCCACAGTGTGGCAAAAACCTTGAGATATTAAGTTATAATGTGCATACTGTTTAGTTCAAATGTACTATTATTATGTTATAGCTTCAATGATCTCTCATATTCTCATTTTTAATCACTAGCAAAAGCAAACAGAACAATGAAGGGGAACCAGAGCAGTGTGTCTGAGTTCATCCTCCTGGGGCTCCCCATCCAGCCAGAGCAGCAGGGCATCTTCTTCACCCTGTTCCTGGCCGTGTACCTGACCACGGTGCTGGGGAACCTGCTCATCATCCTGCTCATCAGGCTGGACTCTCGCCTCCACACCCCCATGTACTTCTTCCTCAGCTACTTGGCCTTCACAGACATCTCTTTCTCATCTGTCACAGCTCCTAAGATGCTCATGGATATGCTGACACAGAGTCTTTCCATCTCATATGCTGGATGTATTTCTCAGATATACTTTTTCTTATTTTTTGGGTGTATTGACAACTTACTTCTCACTTCGATGGCCTATGACAGGTATGTGGCCATCTGTCACCCTCTGCACTATACCACCATCATGAGTCAGAGCCTCTGTTTCCTTCTAGTAGCTGTGTCTTGGGTATTTTCCTCTACCAATGCCCTTGTACACACCCTTCTCTTTACTCGTCTTTCTCTGTTTAAAGACAACATTCTCCATCACTTCTTCTGTGACCTCTCTGCCTTACTTAAGCTGTCCATCTCAGATACCACCATCAATGAGCTAGTTATCCTCACTTTGGCAGTGGTGGTCATTACTGTGCCATTCATGTGTATTCTGGCCTCCTATGGTCACATTGGGGCCACCGTCCTGAAAAATCCCTCCATGAAGGGAATCTGCAAAGCCTTGTCCACATGTGGCTCTCACCTCTCTGTGGTTTCTCTGTACTACGGAGCCATTATTGGGCTGTACTTTTTCCCTTCTTCTAATAACACTAATGACAAGGATGTCATTGTGTCAGTGTTGTACACCATGGTCACACCCATGCTGAATCCCTTTATCTACAGTCTGAGGAATCGAGATATTAAAGGAGCTCTGGGAAACATCCTCAATAGACGAAACATTTTAGTGTGATTACCAATGTCTTCCCTATTAGCAGGATACGAGACCTGACTGATGCATATGAATCTTTTTATCTCTGGAGTGCTTTTGCTATTGATTCTTCCTCACTTCTCAGACTGTGTTTTACTTCAGAGTCTTTTGTCTCTCTTTGTTTTGTTGACATCGATAGTCTTGCTTCAAAACATCAAAAAGTTTTGTACCATCTTAGACTTTATGTGTTTCTTTTCAAAGCACAGCTTATGGTTAGTTATATCGAAGCCATTTTTCTTTCTAAAGATAACAAAAATACTTCCTCTGGTAGGTTCACAGTTTATTTACCTTTCTATGTATGTTTTATTTTGTAATATACTTGGAGTTTATTTTTTGTGAGTGAATTCAATGACTAGTTTTATTTATTTGAAAATCTATTTTTTTAAATTTACACATAAAATACACATTTTATGTTATTTAAAATCATACCATCATCAATTATTACCAAATTTCATTGTGCTATAGGACTATTTTACTTATAGTCATCAGAAAATGTGTTAGGCTCATTTTTAAAAATTAATGAAATTTCAGTTCTGTGAGATGAACAGACATCTCTGAATTATGCTGGGAATCTTCCTGTCCTATTCAACCCAATTTAAAATAAATTATTCTGCACACATGTGCCAGACTGCTGAGAAAGATGGCTTTTGTGAGGAATGAACTCGGCCTATATAGTTTCATACTAGTATTTCTAATCTTCCAAATAAGACACAATTTGAAGAAGAAATCTTACCTCCCAAGTAGCAAGAGAAAATAAATTCATTTATCTATATAAAAAATGCTACATGTATTTTTAGGCTACCAGGTCATATTCTACATATATATAAGTTGTACAACATAGCCTGTTTGTTTCCTCAAGTTTTTATCATCTTTTCATTTTAATATTCAAATTTCAAATAATATTAAAATAATGTTTAACTATTCAAATATTTTCTTCTGAAGGCTTCTTTTCCAACTTCACTTTTTATTTGTACAGGTCAATACAAATAAAGATTTCTAATATAAAATTTCTCTACGTATGCCAGGGAATTGGTACATAATTATGATTCATCATTAAAATGTTACACAATGTAAATAAATAAAGTTGTTTTAGCAAAACTGTGATATAAGAAAACACTTTTGATATGTAATTAAATGGAAAAGGCATGTTATATAACAGTATATACTCCTGAAGGAAAATCTTAACTTTGTGAAAAAATACATAAGCACAGAAAAAAGTAAACAGAAAATATTCATCCAAGAACGCACAGTAGTAACACATGAATGGTAGGATTTGCATGACTAATTCTATTTCTCGCACATCAGGAAGCACTCATAACAGCTAACTGGTAACTCCAAGACTCGTCATTTAGTGCACTACACCAGCTTCAAAAAATACTACAAGCTATAGGAGAGATTGGGGAGATGTTGATCAAAAGAGACAAAATTTCATTATTTTTTATATTAAGATTTTGTAATTTCATACAGCAGTTCTTAATCAAATTTAGACTCCCCTTCCCCAGCCATGCTTCCCCCATCCTCCCACCAGACCTCATGTATTCCGCCATACATGTTAAGTCCTATTTATTCGGGCATTTGTGTCCAAATGTCCGTCAGTGTAAATTTGTCCACTGGAGTCTAGTCAGTCCGTCTAGCGATAGTATGTAAGTCATACTCTTCCTCATCCAGAAGCAATCAGTCTCTAATAGTTCCAAGACTATCTAAGAGGATTTAGGTAAAATCATAGATAATGGTAGCTCTCGATGTTTTTATTAATGGAATGAAATCAAGGATCTATGGGATGTATTTGTAGATTTAAATGATTCCATCTCAGAAGTTACCAGAATTCCTGTGAATAATATCTCAAGTTGTTATAGCTTCAAGTTGGTAAACAATGAACTTGAAGACCTGAAGGACCTGCCTTAATTACATGTAGAAAGACTTAATCATAAACATTAGAATTGGGGAAATTGCTTATAAGTCATAAAGGAGAATGAAATCATGTTATTTGTCAATAGAGATAACCTTATTTAATAAACTAAGCCAATCTCAGAATTAAAAAGACACAAAATTTCAACATCCTGGCACAGTGGAGCATGGCTTTAAACCCAGCACTCAGGAGGCAAAGCTCTATAAGTTGGAAGACAGCCTGGTCTGCATGAGGGGTTCCAGATCAGCCAAGGCTACATAGTGAGACCCTTTCTCAAAAAATAGATAGATAATTTTAATTAACATTATAGCATTACAACAAAGAATATGCACTATTATTTAAATTTTTAAGATTTTTTGTGTGTATGTGGTAAATGTGCATGTATATGCACACAGAGGTCAGAAGAAAGCATCAGGTCTTTTGCTCTATCATGCTTTGTATTATTTCCTTGAAGCAAGGTCTCTCAGCAAACTTGGAGCTAGACTGTCAGTCACCTCAGTGATTCTCCTGTCTCTATCCCCATCCCCCACAGCACAGGAGTTGCAGGCATGCATGTGAACACATATGGCTTATTATGTGAGTGCTGGAAATTTAAACTCAAGTCCTCATGCTTGCACAGCATGAAGTCTTAACCAATGAGCCAACTCCAAGCCTCTAAACTTATTTTTGACAGACAGAAGTTGTTCATGCTTGAATGATTTAACAGCATTTTAAAATAAGAATACACTGTGGAATAATTAATAAATAGAACCCAGCAAAATGCATTATTTCACATATTTGTAATTATTTATGATAAGAACTCAATTTCAAGGGCTGGAAAGATGACCCAGTGGTTAAAAGCTTTTACTGGCCTTGCAGAGGTTCAGTTCCTAGCACACACATGTCAGCTCACAACATGTAACACCAGCTCCAGGGGATCCAATAACATCTTCTGGCCTCTCTAGGCACCAGGTATACACTGGGGTACATATATACATGGGGGCCACAAACACATAAAAACTAAATTAAAAGTGAAATAATTTTCAAGTGTTAATATGCTATTTACCATGTACTATAGTCAACATGCTGTACAATGGACCTCTTGGACTTATTCTTCCTATCTAATTGAAATTCTACATATACATATATGTATATGATTTAAAAATAAGATTTTTTATTTATTCTTTGATAATTTCATACATGTATATAATGGAATTTTATCATATATACCTTCCACTACCTCCCTCTCTTCCTCACCCCAGTGCCCTCCAACACATCTCCCTCTCAGCTTAATAAAAAAAGTAATGATCCACTGAATCCAGTTAGTGCTGCCCACATGAACGAGGATGTGAGGCCATCCACTGGGCATGGGCAACCTGCCAGTGCCCACGCTCCCAGAGAAAAGTGACTCTTCCTCCCTCAGCAGTCATGAGCTGCCAAAAGCTTCTCATTAAGTATGGAGCCTTAGAGTCCCTCCTCAATCCATGTTGGAATTTTGGCTGGCATGATCTTGTGAAGATATTGTGGAAGTAACCACAGGTGTTGAGTTCATGTATGAAACGGCCATGTTACATCCAGAAGACAGGATTCCATGCATCTCCTTCCCATCCTCTGGCTCTTACATTCTTTCCACACTCCCATAATTTTCCCTGAGCCTTGAGTAGGAGAAGTTTCATGTAGATGATCCACCTATCTCTGAGCACTGAGAGTCACTTATTCTCAGAACTTTGACCAGTTATGAATCTTTTCACTAATCTTTTCACTAAAGAAACCTCCCTGCCCAAGGTTAAGAGCAGCCCAAATCAATTGGTATAAATGTGAGGAGTATGGGTCCATGAGTCTAAGTTCAGAGGACATTCAATTCCAAGCTCTTTTTTCAATTGAATTTTTGCAATTTCACACAATATAGTTTGACGATATTTAGATCCCCTCCCCTATCTACGCCCCCACTGCCCTTACTATAATCTCATATAATATGGCCTATAAAGTCCGATTTGTGTCTCCAAATGTCCTTCAGTGTAGGTCTGTTCCCTGGGCCCACCAAGAATTCCTATAAGACACCGTCTCTGGCCTTTCCAGTACACATCATTTGCCTCAAGTTTCTTAGGCTGGGTTGAGATTTCTTACCCATTTCCCCATGTCTATGTTGCAATTTAATTTTTGTCTGATTTGAGCTTGCATAGGATTTCTGCATGCTGTCAACATTGCTGTGCATTCATATGAGTAACTGACCAGCTGTTTTGAAGACTCTGTTTCCTTTTGGTCATCTTACCCCCTCTGTCTCTTGAAATTACACCTCTGCTTCCACAATGATCCCTGAGCCTTGGGAGGCAGAGGTTTGAAACAGGCATTTTACTCGAGAATAAGCACTCTGTGGCCTTTTCTTCTCTGCACATTAACCAGTTTGGTTACTATGATCATGACCATTAGATGATGCCCAGGTAAGGAATGGCTTCTGGTCTTCTCCAAACCAGCTTCTTTCATATATTAATATTGATGTTTCAGTTCAGGCCATATTTCTCCACAAAAGGATAGTTAAAAGTATGTAAATAATTTAAAATAACACAACACATCAACAAAAGGATGGGTACAGATTAAAAGACATTTCAAATCTCTGCCTCCCATACCAGACCTCAATCTATATTCTAGAGCTACAGGTGTTAAAACAGCATAGTATTGTCACAAAACAGACTTGTAGACAAATGGAACAAAATAGAAGAGCCAAACATGAGTACATGCAGTTGCAGCCACCTGATATTTGACACCGATGCCAAAAAACACACACTGGAGGAAAGACAGCATCTTCAACAAATAGCACTGGCAAAATTGGATCTCCATGTAGAGAATTAAATTATCACCCTGCACAAAAGTCAACTCCAAATGAATCAAAGACTTCAATATGATGTTTGAAACGCTGAAACTGTTAGAAGAAAACATGCAGTACCCTATAAGATAAAGGTACAGAAAAGGACTTTCTAAATTGGATACCAGTCACTCAGGAATTAAAGTTAACAATAGACAAGACAAATGGGACCTCAGTAATCTTAAAAGCTTCTGTACAGCAAATGAAACAACCAATGAAATAAAGAGGAAG